AAAAAATGTGGAATCTCAATATATTTATGAAGGGCGACGGGGTGGAGGTTGGGAGTTTGATGTTGAAGTAGCATTATTAGCTGTAGTCTAAGGATGGAGAGAAATTCAGATTGCATTGGCGGTCGTCAGTGAGGAGAATCACACACCTCCACCACTTGGTTTCGATAAGTTTTGGCGTGATGAGCATTCTGCAAAATCAGTCAATGAGGAAAGCTGTTACAATATAAGGTAATGCTTGAGGAGTTGTAGAACTTTTAGATCGTTTTGATAGAATCCATGGAACGAATGTGTATGAATTAGTTGCTGATTGTGTCTGAGTGACATTATGAACAATACACAGTGATTCGTTTGAAATAATTCATCAATTGAATAGTTTCACTGCACCAGAATTCAATGCGTGTTTCGTTAACGGAAATGCCAATAACGATACTGTATTGCTAGGTTCATTTGTAATAGAATGAAGCATGAAAGGAACGTTAATATGAATATTTGATCAATAACAACATTAATTGAAATAGTTTGTGGAACATAACCATATAGACAATATAAAACTAATAGACTTACCAGCGATCAAAAACCTTAAGTACTTAGAATAATATCGGAAAAAATCATAATGAAACAAAAATTGAAAATATCGCAACTGGTAATCGTTTTCTTCGATTATGATATAAGTCAACGTCATCGATTCTCAGATGCAGTCCAACAGAGCACTTTAGTGACTGTGTAATTATGATGAATAGATTTTGAAAGTGATATCACCATCAACAATCGCACTAAAATGGCTAATTAAGAGAGTTGTGATATTTCAGTGCAATGGAATCGAAATACGAAGAATGGTGTCATGATAATACGCAGTTTTCGAGTGATTATATATGACAGACAGCTCGTCACTTCATTGACGGTCAGTCACTGTCAACTTCAGCTGTGTTGCTACTCAAATTCATTAATTTCATTCTGGGTGGTACATTATTTGTTCGGAAAATAAATGAGAAGAATTTCGCATCGAAAACAGCGAATTTCAAAAAACATAAGTGTTGTTGGATTACAGAATCGTGCATTTACTTTTGTAGTGTTTCGAAATTTTGGCGTTGATTTATTCAACGATGCATACGATGTAAAAAACATGTGTTGATTTCATCGATTTTGTCGAAAGTTTTGTTCGCTGATGATTCCGATCGTTTGACTATAGGATTTTTTTCAATAAACCATAAACGAGCCATATTGATGTGAGATGCATGACCGAATTGGTTTTACGAATGAATAGCATCATTAATAAGAAAGAAATGATTAAGTGATGAACGTTCGATGTATTCACTCTGCAAATTTCTTTTGATATGTTCAATTCAGGCAATCAGAGAATGAAGAGATGTTAATTCCATTAGCTTGTGATTTGCAGGTGAAGTTTGCTTTTCAGTCATTCCAGTGAACCTCTGTCTTCGTGCACCTGTTCAAATACAACAACTTGGGTAGATAGCTATTCCAGTCAGTCGAGTATGCTCATTATTAATGAATGAATTGTAAAATTCAATCAGCTGTCCTTGTGATAATTGCTCAATTCGATTACTGCTGTATTGAGTTCATTCTATTAACATTTCAGTCAGCAATAACATTCTTTCAAGACAAATGAATTTGTCCCATCCAGCACACTTTGAAACATCGAACCATATTTGTTGGATTGCTGTCCTTATGTGTTCCGTTTGTCGACAGTTGAGTGATTAGTTGAAAATTAATGGAAGAACAACAGTTTCATCCTTTCCGTGGCTGAAAATCGCTGCGTCGATGAACTGCCTCATTTGAAAAGTTTGTTGATTAACTATGAACAGCCTTGATGTCAGTATTGATAGAAAGAAATGTATTTGAGATGCTTGCATTCATTCAAGCGTTTGCGACTGACCCCTAAACGATCTCCACATAATATCTTCTTATCACATCGATTCAAACGTCGCTTTCTTCCGATAGTTTCACTCGATTTCCGAACGATACTATCATCCACTAAACGAACCCATTCAAATGTGCCCACAGCTTCAGTGGTTCTCACACGAATGTTTACCAATGCGAATACAAATATGTAATAAACTTGTCACAACTGAAACAATTCAATTGCCAGTGGCGGAAAGGAACAACAACAAGTTTCACATACTAAGAGTGTCACGATCAACAAATCGTATTTTAATGAGCAATTACTCAGAACTATGTTTTCAGTCATATTTCTCAGGGACTGTCATTTATTTACCACAACTTAAGTTCGAACAAATGAATTTTTCATCATTTGAGCTTTTAGGTGGAAGAGCCCGAAAAAGTGTTGAAAAAGCGTTCTTCAGAATGATTGAGCGTTTTTTTTTTGTTTTTGTTTTCGAATCAAGAGTTCGAAAAACCATCAACACTGTACTGGGAGGATAGCTGTTCCCATAGTGAGTGAACTAATTTTGTGATGTACATCAAAAAGAAAAACTTCGGAAAACTAAATTCAGTTGTTGCAGCTTCGTTATCAGTGGATTTCGATTCATTCAGAGACAAATTCCGAAGTCAAATTAAGAGTTAAATAATTCTTAATGGTGCACGCATCACACAACAGCCCGCTTATGCATTTTGTCGAAATAAGTATAGATGCAATTCAAATTGAATCGCTCAGTTGTGTTTCGTTG